ATTACCAATCTCAAGAAATCTCCATGCTTCTTGTCCTCTGCTTCAATTGCTCTATCAAGAATGCCACCGGTAGTAGCACTAGAGAAGGACCGAAGTAGACCCAACAAAAAAAAACATAGAATTAGAATCAGCATCTACATTTGATTTCAATTGCTAGCACTGAACTATCAACTTTGAAACACACCTGTGTCCTATCACAAAACGCATAATAATGCCTTTTTCCTCCTCGAGCTTCTTTCTTTCATCCCCTGCTTTATTGGGTCAATGGTGAAAAAGAGCTAAGGAAATGCATACTACAGATCATTAATATAAGCCAACACACACACACACACACAAAAGAGATGGAAGGGAACCACCACCTTGCGGCATCCAGGTAGCACGAATAGAGTCTCTTCTTTTTCGGCTGCTAAATGCCGTGTTTATGCCAATCACCATCAGATATTTTCTTCTCTTAGTTAATTCTGGGACCTTGAGGTCTTCAGATATGGGAGAGCCAGTAAGAATAGAGTCCTGCAAATCCCTTGCTGCAGCTATCTCCATCTCCAAATTCGATATTGTTTTATCCAGATTTCTGCATATATATTTATGTTTTTGCATAAATACATCTACGGAAATTTCATACTCCCATGAAGATCATAATCCTAAAAATGACTCTTGTTACTACTGGAAAAAGTTGGCTAGAGTCAAAAGAACTTTCAGAGATATGACCCCACAGATGAGTATATTGCCCTGCAAGGTTATAAGTGGCTTATGGGGTAGGGGATCAAACCATACTGGACAAATCTTGTATGGAATGGTTTGTCTATCCCTAAACACCAATTCCATGTTTGGCTTCTACTGAAAGACAGGTTACAAACAAAGAATAGATTGAGTAAGTTTATTAATGTAGACTTGGTGTGTTTATTATGTGAGCAAGAAGATGAGGATAGTGACCATTTGTTTTGGGACTGTGGCTTCACCAAACAATTATGGAATAGAATTGGGATGAATATTCATAATGTAGCTGGAAATTTGCAAGATTTCTGCCGATACATGTTGAATATTGGCAATAAAAAGACCAGCAAAGTGATTATTGCAGTGTGGGCTGCTGTGTGCTACACTCTTTGGAAAGCTAGGAATAACAAAAATCATCAAAAGGGAGCATTGAAGATTGAAGATTGCTGTAGATACATTGAAGAAGAGACTAAATATTACATACATTATAAGCTTAACAGTTTTGTTTTACAGTAGAGGAGAGCTTGTTCTACTTATATATTTTGTTTGCTTTATTGTAGAGGGGGAGCTTTCTTTACTCTACGACACATTTGTATTTTTGATAAAGTTGTTTAATGAAAGGATGTGCTTACAGTTCAAAAAAGAAAAAAGAGCTAGGAAAAATTAAAAATATGGCATTCGAGAAATCTAAAAAGCATGGATCAAGAAACATACTGTATAGCACTTTGTGTCTTTGAAACCTCAGCAAGAATGTTCCTGGATTCACTTTGTCCATCCTTGTAATAAATCCCAACATGAAAAAACTGAATTTGAACTTACCATCCCCAACATAACAATCTTTTATTACATCTAAAATTATGCACCCTACTTCATACTCACAGTTCCAGTATCACAGCCATCAGAAACCAACTTCATCTTGCCATCATCAAAATTTGAAAGCCTTGATATGCCCTTAGCTTCTGGAACCATCCACATTCTAAAATGACCAAAATGCCCAAAGAAAGATTGTGAATTCACATTCAAAAAAACAGTCCATACTTTTCAGATTATAAAACAAAATCTGGGATTCATCAAAAAAGAAAAAAAACAAGGGTTAGCGAGAATTGAATTGAAAAAAGGAATGAAGCACCACCTGTCAGTGAAGAGCATCCCAATACAGAAGCATCCCACACAGAGCAAGATTGTTGATCTTCTTGAAACAGTTCCTTTCTGAGTCGACTCAAATCCTCTGCTTTTCCAACCCATTTCCCCTCTTCTCTCAGTTGCCGATGACAGGAAGAGCCCAACCCAATCAGTGTCCAAACTCAGCGGACACTCATTTGGGCTCCCAAGCTAGAGAACCAGATTCAAGACTTGTAGATCAGCTATGCAGGGAGGAATTGGACTGAGTTGTGGTTCGTGGAACGAGACGACTCGCCCAGCCGGCTGGCTCAAGAAGAGTCAAGACGACTTTGTTTGTTTTCCTTCCACCCCTTTTCTCCTTCCTTAGGATTACTGTGAAAGTTTCAAAAAATCATCTCTGAAAGTGTCTTACCTGCAAATATAGTCAATAAAAGTTATCATATGGACCAAGTAGTATTATTGTAGCTAAAAAAAAGGGTGTTTGATGTAGATCATACTCCGTATATGATCAGGATTTACCTATGGCATAGTCATAACTCGTAAAAGTTGTCTTCCTCCAATTCACTCTGTCGTGGCGCGGGGGCAGCTTGTCGGTGGGCTGTCAAAGGCGACAATTTCTACTCGCCTTTTCTAAGAATACCCGTAGTTTTTCATGGGTTACCCGAAATTTCTTGATATAGAAAATTTTGAATTGAACATATATATTACTCCGTACGTACTTCGTAATATATCATTAAAATATGAGTAAAATATGTTGGAATTTTTGGTACTTTAATAGGCATTAAATGTGCCAACTTGGGTATATTTATCAATAGGCCCACTAATGATTTAATTGTTAATTAATGGATGAATGTTCTCTTAAATGAGATACATATTTTGATAATTTATACGCTAAAAATAGTAGAGGCTGAATGAAAATTGATTCTCAAAGTTAACTTATTAATAGAAGAATATGATAAGAATTACAATTTTGCAATTTTATTGAACCAATCTTCGTTTATTATTTTTTACGCGTTGTTTAAAATTACTCCACTTTTACGGAGTTAACTTGTCATTAATATTCAATTATTCGAAACAAATTTTAAACGGAGCGTAGCGTAACGAACGTATTAATGATTACTTAATCATCATTAACACAACATTAGTATGACACTAATGTCATGGTTTAATACCAAACATTAAGTGTGTGTATGTTACAACTTTTAATGCCTAGTTATAAAAATCAAGAGGGCTCTCATTTTTGAAATAGGTGTGCCATTCGTGAGAAGTAAAAAAAAAAGGAAAACAAAAAAAAAACATGCTTCATTTTTTTAAAGAGAGAGAGCTCTTGATTTCCATCCAAATTTCCAGCAATTCCCTTCAAGGTTTTTTGGTCGCCAATGTTTCTACGTTGTTCTTGTTCGTTGGTGTATACTTGGTCCGTAAAATCACCACACACGATAGCGGTTTTATCCTAGGAGGGGAGTGCCCATGTTTTTTTGGTACGGTGGACGGGCACAACTACCTTAAGGACAACTTTGGCGACTCTGCTGCCCTTCTACGGTGTTTTTTATTTATTGTAATTAAATTTGAATAAGTTATAAATTCAGATTTATTTTTATTTTATTCCAGGGCCATTCATTTTCTCCGTCCGTTGTAATCCGTACTATAATTTTGACTCTGTCAAAGTGAAACACCCAAAAATAAGGTGTCAGAAAAAAGTATTGCAAATAAATAAAAAAATTATATCACTGTATAGATTTTGACAGTCCAGTTGCAACTGTGCAATCGAAATTTAATTTGAAGAAAGTTGGACCATTTTAGTACCAATCAGGGAAGAGTCGTGAGAATCGCTCAACTGCTCTCCCACGATCGCCAAATGACGCAGCAAAACATGGAAGGAGCTTGGCTTCACCTTCATCTTTCTCCTATATAAGGACGAGACATTCTTCCTCATTTCTTCACCATTTCTTCTCATTCCATCTTCCATTGTGTTGTCCTGAGTGTGGAGAACGTGGTGGTGTTGTCCATATAGTGAGAGCTTACCGGAGTGAAAAGTAATCGTCGCCGGAAGTTTTGTCGGAATTTTTCCAAAACCTCCCTTTTCTTCTGAGGTAAGCCCTTAGATAAATCTAGTGTTTAGAATGTTCATATAGATCGTTTCCACATTCATAAATGGTCGTTTCGTTGAGTTTTGTGTTTGACATGCTTGAAGAACCAAGAATTATTAACCTTAAAATTGTTGTTAAAACATCGATTTAATGGTAGTAAAATGATCTATGAATATTGGAGAATATTTTTATATAATTCAATTGAAGTTTGGTGGCTTAAACTGATATTTTGAAAATAGACCCGAGGTTGAACACGTCGAATTGTAGAACGATCAAACGTCGTTCCAAACGGTGGACCGTCCTCTGCTCAGTTCGTGTTCCAGTTCGTCCGCTGGAACGATCGACCGTGGATGGTAAATGGTCGACCGTTTTCCGTCCACCTGGTGCGAGCAGTCGACCGTCTAACAATAATAGTCGACCGTCTCGAAAATTTTTAGTGACGAAAAAACCTGATTTTTGAACGGTAAAATCCTATTTTTGATACCATTCAATTATGATCCACATGAAAATGAATTCATATTACTATTAGTATTATTATGATTATAATTATTATTACTATTGTTATTATTATTACTATTATTCTTATTACTATTACTATTACTATTAATATTATTATTAATATTTTTAATATTATTACTATTACTATTACTATTATTATTATTATTAGTATTTTTTATTACTATTTCTATTACTATTATTATTACCATCAATATTTATATTATTATTATTATTTTAATTATTATTTTATTACTATTCTTATTATTATGGTTATTATTATTACAATTATCATTACCATTATTATTTTAACTATTATTTTTATTATAACTATTATTATTAAGATTATAATTATTATTACTATTTTATTATTAAGTATTACTATTACTATTAGTACTATTATTATTAATATTATTAATATTATTATTATGATTATTATGATTATTATTATTGCTATTATTATTATTTTTATTACTATTACTAGCTAGTATTATTGTTATAGTTATTACGTAGTATTATTATTACCATTGTTATTACTATTTTTCTTATTTTTATTATTATTTGTTATATTATTATTACTATTATTATTAATAATTCTTTTATTATTACTACAATTATTATAACTATCATAATAATAATTTAAATTTTAATTGAATTTATATCATTTGAGATCCAATTACATCAGACCAAATTGGATCAAACCAGATTAGATCAGATCTAATCATATCAGATTAGATCTAATCAAATCAGATTCAATAAGACCAGATCAATTCATCTTTAAGGGCATATCTCAAGTGTATCTATAAAAGATCAGAGTGTACAAGTTAAACAATACGGAGTACATTTTTATATGGTGCTTCCAAGGTCTAATGTCTGACATTATTATTCAAGAAAGCCAGTTTTACTCAGCACTGCATTTCTCACCCTGCTTAGATCTCTCCCCTTCAGAGTCCTCCCAACCCCTTCACACACAGAGAAAGAGGATATTTGCCTTCTTGCCAGCTTCCTCGCAATCCATTCGTGCGGTGGCACTATGGGCCCCACATCTTCTTCGCCGCCGTCGTCTTCCTCTTCCTCTTTGTCGTCACCACCATCTCGGCTTCGTCTCACAAACCCATCACCTTGCATTTCCTGACCATGATGATCGTATGCATCACCAAGAAACGCCGGACTGCATGGGGCCTTATTTGAACCGGCGCTGTGGATTTTAGACCAATCTTGTATGATGACGGGAGCGGAGTGTGGAATGATTTTGGGGTCATGAGAGCTGGGATTCTTGGTGGATCTTGGGATCATTTTGGCTGCAGTTGGGATGAGCCTTAGAGCAGTGGGATATTCTTTATTAGCCTTGGGAGTGAACTTTTCCCTTTCAGGGAAAAGTTCCCAAACATCACCTTCTTGAAGGTCTTCACTTCTGATTGAGGTCCAACCACTGCTGCCTTTGCTGTATAAGCCATTCCTCCTCTGAACCATTGACATCTACACACACACACACAGGGCATTAATCAAAAAGCCAGCCAAAGTATTTGTACATCAACTTAGATGTGGCCTTCAGATCTTGAATATTAATCTATATATAGTACTGGGTGCAAGATTTTTTATGGGAAATCTTAGGGAATCCAATAGATGCATGGCGCTAGACAAAAATAAAAAAAAAAGTTGGAGCAATGGAACTTTAGATAATGCCACAGAATAGCAGAAGTGGCATCTCTTTTTGCAGGACAAGACAGGCGGCTTTGGACTGAGAGCAAAGCCATTGAAATGGAAGCAACCAAAAAAGTAGCTTTTCGTAGGCCTGTTGTTTGCTTATTAGACTGGAATTCCCTTCCCAACACTCCTATTATTGGAATCTGGTACGCACAAACCAATTAATAATAATAATAATAGTAATATTAATATTATAATAATCATCATCATAGTCATAATAATAATAATAATAATAAATATTATTATTATTATCATAACTATAATCATTATAGTAATCATCATCATAATAATCATACCAACAACAATAATAACAATAATAAATACAACAATAGGGACAAGAACAATAATACTCCCTGCATCCCCCATATCTTTCTTACTTGCAAATTCCCATCTCTTTTAAAATGATTTTATTTATAAATTGGTAAAGAAAAAAAAGTGCAAATTAATCATTCAAAACTACATCAAAAGTTCTAGAAAACAAGAGGTGACTAGACTATTTTATACTCCGTATTATTAAATGATCAATGAAGACATGCATGAAAACATAAGTTATCGAGAGGCCGTAATAGTAAATAGGAATTAAGATATGGGAAGGAGGGAGTAACAACTACAAGAACAAGGACAATAACAGCGATAAGAACAATAAAAATGGCAACAAACACAACAACACCAACAACAATAACCACAACAATAAGGACAACATCTACAATAATCATAGTAATAGTAATAGCAATAAAGTTTGTGCCCAAATACGACGGTTTCCTCCTACCTCTAAAACGTTGGTGATTGAGTTAAATGGAGAAACATTATTTGGAACCTGCACGCCAAGGGATTTCATACTGAGTGGCCTCTTCTGAAAGAGGGAGAACCACAGGGCCGTTTGCCCCTTTTCCAAAAGCTACCAATAAGATGAACTATCCCCATAGGAATGCAGTTTTGGTAGATTTCATAAAGATAGCGTTGTTCAATTTTATGTCGCCCTCCGTGGTTGTTTGTTATATATATATATAAATCAGGATTAGGCTTTTATAGAATAAAAAACCAACCAGAATTCTACTTTCTACAAATGAAAATCAGTCTGAATTGTTTGAACCTGAAGGATTGATTTATTTTACTAATTGCACATACCCTAATGTTAAAATATCATCAGGCTTTCAGTCTCAGTTCTTTAGACTTCAAGTATCCAGGCTATAAAAAAACCAGAAACTTCGTTTTATTTGATACCCCACATTTTCAGCTTTCCAGGACTGATCTTGCACATTTGAATTCCACCCCAAGCCCCTGAAGAGTTAAATCAAGTACGCCATGTTTTTACCTGCACTCGACTTAGATACATCTGCACACAAGGTGACCAGCCCACACCCCTACCAAACTTTAGGGAGCTCAAACAATCAATTGCTATATTGGAATACATCTGCAGGTGTGGAGCTTTTGATCACAAACGATTTGCTATTATAAAAGGAAAAACACTGAATGCACATGTAACAAACTACAGTTCATATCTGTTAGTTCCACCTTACATTTCAAGCGGGCAAAACTACTTTCATATTGATTTTGAAGTGAAGAATAGTTTGAAACTTGTGATCCTTTCTCTCCATTGAGTTCAGTATTTGGCCACTCATTATGCTTTGGAATAATAACATATGTTTATCCGATCTCAGTAAGTATAGACTATAGACATAATCATACAAGAGACATTTTGCCAAAAATTGCCAGTTGTTTGAATACCTCAAAAAATAGTTCAGAACTTGTGATCTTTGCCCTCAATTGTTCAGCATTTGGGAAGTAACTCAGAATTCAAGAAAGTATAGGTGGTAAGAATATGTCATTCATTAAACTTTGGAATAATAACATATGTTTCGCCAATCTAAGAATAGATGCAATCCAGCCAGACTCTCTTTGCCTAAAATTACCCGTAGATTGAATACCTCAAAAAAATCATATTTGAAGAGAATAGGATTCTCTATGCAAGTGCATCTGCTCCAGCAACAATCTCCAATATCTCGCCAGTGATCTTTGCTTGTCTCTTCCGGTTATAAGACATGGAAAGCTTTTTGTTCAGCTCAATAGCATTATCTGTGGCGCTGTTCATTGAGTTCATCCTTGCCGCAACCTCACTTGCGTACGACTCTTGAAGTGCCTTCAAAATCTGACTATTCAAGTAAAGAGGCATCAACGCATCAAGAATCACAGCAGGATCTTGCTCAAACTGCATATAACATGAATACGCTCTTTCTGTTTTAGATGCTTCCCTGTGATCCCTCTCCACAGTTAGCTTCCCCTCCTTCGTAGTCAACCTAAAAAACTCATCTCCCTCCACATCAATGCTCTTTCCATTCATGTCTCGAATCTTGCCCTTTGCAGACAAGGGAAGCAAGGTGTGGATTACCGGCTCAGACTTGAGCAATGACACGAACTTAGTATACAACAGCTCAACCTTGTCAACCACTTCACTCACAAACAGCGAGATAACATTATCTGATATGGCTTGAGCCTCCTTTGTGGTCGGAAAACTGCCTACTTCCACATATTTATCCACAATTTTGTTTTCCCTTCGTTGAAAGTAAGAATTTCCCTTTTTCCCAACGCTGATTATGGTGTAATCCAAACCAAGATCAATCAATTCCTTCATACGAGCCTCGGCTTTTCTCAGAATAGCACTGTTGAAACTGCCGCAGAGGCCGCTATCACCTGTGACAACAACTAGGGCAATCTTCTTCACCGGACGGACCACTGTTAAAGGGAGATCTACATCTTCCCACTGGAGCTGCTCGTTGATGTCGTACAGAACCTCAACAATGGCATCCGCAAAGGGTCTAGAATTGATGGCAGCCTCTTGAGCTCTCCGAATCTTAGCGGCCGCCACCAGCTTCATCGCTTCTGTGACCTTCTGGGTGTTTTTTACCGTCTCCATTCGCTCTCGCAGTTGACGGAGATTGCAGCAAATGAGACGCGAGGAATTTCTCTTCACGGTGGATTTAGGAATCGGAAATGGAATAACCTGTAAGTAAGAAGAAGAAGAAGAAAGTGTAAAACAGGAGTTTCCGATAAAGAACCTTGATAAGCCCCACGTCGCCGTCGAAGCCATGACGCCGGCCTTGAAATATTCCCGGCGACCCCTGAGTTCTTCAATGAGGGTTTCAAAATCGAGTCGGGCCGAAGGATTCATGACGCGCGAAAATAAAAATAAAAAGTGACGACGGTTCAATTTGGGTCAGCCCGTCAGGCGTCTTGAAATCGGGTTGCAGCGACCGGATGTTCTTTCAATTCCGCAGCAGAGTGAAGAGGATAGTTGTTAAAAGTAGGACTAAAACAAAATATACCAAAATAGAACTTCCATATTTTTATTTGCGAAATAGGACTTACATTACCAAACATGGTCATATACATTACCAAGAAAGTATAGTAATTTGCACATGTACACTGCCACATTACTACAATGCAAAGTCACATTACCACAATGCAAAGTCCTATTCCGAAAAAAAAAACATGAAAGTCCTATTTTGGTACTTTTCTCTATGTTTTAGTCCTATTTAGAATGATTTCTATAGTGTTAAGAAGAGGACTGGGGACGAACCGATCCAGGTACTGGTTAACAAGTTCATTGGTCAAATCAGTGGTTCACGTATTTTGTATAAAATCAAAATAACTTCTTTCATATGAACATAAAACTTTATAATATTTGATTGGAATTTTAGTCACTCTAACTTATTTTGTTAGTCAATTTATATTTAAAATAAAATTTACGCATCGAGAAGTACATTACAAGTTTTATAAAATAATGATAGTTTATTTTTCTTTATATATTTTGCCTAATATACAAAAATATTAAAACGAATTTTTTTCGCGACACGTACTCCGTATTAAAATTATTTCTATTTTTAAATGTTAAGAAACTTAGTTTAAGAAATAAAAAATCTTTTAATTCATATATAATCCTTAGAACCAATATGTAACAAAAAACGTTCTTGCTTAGTTGGTTGATAGCGTTGTGTAACAACCAATAGGTTAAGGGTTTGAACTTTAGTGGAGGAATAAACATTTTGGCCAAATTTACAAAAAAAAACAAAATTGGTTTGGCCGGGTGAACCGGCCGGTTCTTACCGGTTCACACCGGTTCGAACTGGTTCAATGCACGATGCGGTCCAAAGGACTAGACCAGACCAATTCGACCTCCGGTCCGAACCGACTAATCCAGTCCGGTTTTTAAAACTATGGTGCAGAGAGCTATTACTCATAAAAAAATAACAATGCCAAGGGTACACCAAAAAAGTGTATCCCGAGTTAGTACAAAATGTTAGTTCACTAAAAAATTGTACTTATAGTTTTTATCAATGTAAATTACCACACTAGTACAAAATGTCGGTGCATGCCTTTAGGTACAAGCTTTGTTGTACAAATAGCTTAATCCAAAAAACAAAAATGTTAGAATTACGCTCATCGATAAAATTTTATACTACTTTGATACCAGCATATTATCTTTCCCACATATGTACACAAATAGTAACAATCTAAGGCCTTGTGAAATAATAGATTTGGATCTAATTTAATTCTAAATGATTGCGGGCACGGTCCCAACATCAATAACCTTAGTTCTGATATCGAGGGTTTTGCGAATGATTAACTTGTAGATAAAATGCTTTTCAGAAAAGCTGAAACATGAAGCACTATATATCTGCTTCTCCGAAATAGTATTTTATGTACAAAATGATGGTGAAGAAAAGTAGAAATTGATATGCCAAACAGAATAAAATGATTACCATTTAAAGTAGAAGCTAAATTCTGAAAAGCAATGCAGTGTCAAACACACTCATCATGTGAAATAATAGACTTGACTCCAATTCAATCCCAAAAGTTAAGTCAAGAAGTTGAGAAACCCAACTATTAAATATAGCATAATATTGGCATGTTTAGCCAATGTGGGATGAGATAACTCAACAGGTTTGTACCGGTTCCAGTTGATGGGAAATAATACGTGGTTCGGTCCATATTTTCCAATTATTCATGAAGAATAATCAAATTGGACCTATTTAATAAAATGAAAGAATTGGAGGATATTCTCCGAAGATGCTCCTCCTCCTTCCCTATAAATGGAGGATTTGCCTTCAATATTGAGGAGGCTAATCTCTCATCACTCACCCCTGTTGCTCTTTCTTAGCTTGTTCATCTTTTTTCTTTCAATGAAACTTCAAGCTTCCATTAATGACTTCTAAGCCCAAATGATGTGTCGTGTACAATCCCAAGTATTAATAAAAATTCTTCATAGGCAAGGTACCACCAAAAAAGGCCAATGATTTACTCCCAATTAGGTTTCCATGTCAAAATATTTGTGTGTATATTTTGATGTATTTTGTTAGACTAGTTTATTCTTCTTATCTGGCTAAGAAAGATACACCGGTGAAGATAATTTACACCATCATTTTAGCGCCGACCGTGGGATCTTGAGTAAAAAAACCATGATTACCATCTTGCTCATGCGAAAGTCCCGAAAGCAAAATAGATTCATCACTCAAATTAAATTAGGAGTGGTAGTTTTGGAGAAGGGGAGACTCTAACTCAAGTAAAAAAAATCAATACGAAAAAAGGGGGTAGATTTGAAAGAGAGCAAGATGATTGAGCTTGACTCCATTTCAAATCTAAGAGAATCCTCAATTCACAAGTCACAACCCCGAGTTAGCCGGCGCAGGGTTATTCCTTAGTCGTGGTCGCCATGATATGTTGTTGCCACCGCCAAAGTCTCTTACCACCCCCACTTCTGTTGAAACCAATTGCTACCTCTACTACCATGGACGTTGGAGATGGCGACATGGTTGAAGAACTTTTTGACCGTGGTCACTGTTCGCCCTTGTTGCTAGTGGACTCTTCCCTAACCCTCCCCCGATAAGATCTACACCCGTGAAGGTCCGCCATTGCCGATGAAATCAGCAACCTCCTGCAACTAGGGTTGTAAAGCGAACGAATTGAATCGAATACTATGACATTTTATCCGTATTTGAAAAATGATACCATTATTCATATTCATATTTGTTTTAAATTTGAATAATTAATTATTACTAGTCGTATTCGATTTGATATTAAATTCAAATATTCGATTCGTATTCATATTCTATTATAAAATACAAATTTTGAGTTTTTTTATGTTTTATAGCTTCCAAAATTATTATCCCACAAATTAATCATATACACCATCCATTCAGCAAAACGATTCATATTTTGACTAATGGGAGAAATAAGGAGTGCATATTTGTAGTTGACTTTCCAACTTTGTCCTTAATGTGAAGGATAAAAGGAAAATGTGATAGGTAGATTATTAGTAAAAATGTTTGCTGCAATAGGTAAGGTGAGAATTAATGTGTAAAAGTGGTTTTTAATAGAAAGTGGAAGTATTTTGGTGAAAGAATAAAATGAAAGAGGAAGTGTTTTAGTTAACAGAGGGAGTACTTTGTACTAAAAATGGCATGTCTAAAATAACAACAACCTAGATAACTAGATCACACGAGAGTAGGGTGTGGGAAGGATGTGCGTACATGCAAACCTTGCCCCTATATATTATGCTCAATATTTATTACGGAGTGTTTGAAAGTGCATGGAAACGTGTGATTTAGCCCGGACTGCCCCTAAGTCTAGTTTTGCTGCCCTTCTGTAACTGCATGGAAATGTCGGAAGCACACATAAATTAGCGTCCTTAAAGTGATGGATGAAAATGTTTAAACACCAAATATACCTATTCGCTAGCCAGAGCCATATGACAATGATGCACTGCCACTTTGACTTAGAGCCAACCTGGTCTATAATTTGGACCCAATTTTTGTTGTAGAATTGCATCCCCTCCGGAACCAACAGTGCCTCGTGATCAGTCCAAGTTTCACCATCTAGATTTGAGAGCTGACCTTGAAAAAATCTAAACTTGAGTGACCAATTACAAATCTTCCCTCATGGAAGCAATCCAAACACACTATCGCTTTAGCCTGTGAAAAACATGTCGTGGATTACAAATATTGCAAAATGCTAATTACCAAAAAGCTTTAGGCCAAGAAAATATTTACTCGTACATGTAACAATATGATAGTGTGAGTAAAAAAACATGCCATATACCTCCTTCTCTAACTGGTTACTGGTACTCCGTAGTAAACAAGTGAAACAGGAAGTGACAGCAGTTGAATAGGTTTCAACACAGTTGCTCTAGGTAATAATGACAATGTCAGATTCCTTGTCACTGTTATTTCCAAGATTTGGATAAATTGTGTTAGACGCCTTTCACACCTCTAGAGGGGGGGTGAATAGAGGTGTTCACGAAAATAATAAAATTTTTCGTTTAAAGAAGAAAAAGCGCAGGAATAAAAATAAAAGATTAACGGAAACAATGAAAGTGAGAAGACAACGATATATCCTGGTTCGGCCTAATGCCTACGTCCAGTCCCCAAGGCAAACGTGCCTGAGATTCCACTAATCCTTGTTAAACTTAACGGAGTTTAACAATCCGAATACAACTCGAGAACTTGATTTCACAAGCCTCTAACCTTTCCACCGAAGTCTTGATTTCACAAGACTTTGGATTTCAATCCAAAACTTGAATTATTTCAAATTCAAGTTTTTACAATTTAAAAACTTACAAACCAAAGTGCACAGCGGAATTGACTCTTCGAACAAGAGCGGATATGCTGTAGATTACAACCAAATCTAGTGTATGGCACAAATGACTCTCCACACTTCAATTTGAAGGATTGCTCAAGAAGATGCTTGAATGAATTGAGTAGGAGGATTTGATTCAATAAAACTCTTTGAAATTCTCAAAGGATAGCAATTGTAAATATTCTTGGATGTTCTTGTACTTTGAAAACCGGAACTAGATAGAGTATATATGGATAGGGTCGAAGAAACCTCCACGGGGATTTAAAAACTGACCGTTAGTTGTGAAAACTGTCGATTTATTCGAATAAAACATAATTTATTCGAATAGTTTGAGTAAAATAGGATTTTCCAAGACACAGGACTTATTTGAATAAATACTGGATTTATTTGAATAAAACAGAACGAACTGCAAAACTGGGAGCCTACTTATTCGAATAAATAGTCCTTTATTCGAATAGTTTTCAAAACTTTGGAAAAACTGGAATCAGCCCTTATTCAAATAAAACAAACATTTGTTCGATTAAAACAGACTGAACTGCAATCTGCAGAAGTCCCTCTTATTCGAATAAATCTCAATTTATTCGAATAAAAAACTGGGAAGAAACATTTTTGAAGAAAAGATTTGAGAAAGAGTTTTGAAAGCAATCAAAGAGAAATTTTTGTAGGAAAGACAAAGTATTTGAAGAATAAAGATGTGCCAAACACTTTAACATGAACTAAGACTCAAAAGAAATAAAAACCTAGAAAACCTTTAATCTTCAAATCTTGTCTTGAATCTCTAAGCAACGTACTAGGCAATCTACTTGAAAAGATCCAAATCCAAAGCTCATCCCATATGCATGGTTGTCATTATCAAAACACAAGGGTCAACAAACTGTTCTTGCCCTGAGCCAACATTTAGGCTATTCAAAACGAATCAAACTATCAAGATATTTCAAAGCTTCCAAAGGAACTCACAGTTTATCATTTGCACCATTCTGTAAGTGTGTTTCATCCTTGGGCAACTCAAGCTTCAGACGGTTAGCTCAGCATTTGACGATTCCCCAATGATCAAGATACCAAACCATCCTAGTTATATCATCCATACTACGCCTCGTACTCGCCCTCCATAATTAGCCAAACATCTCCATACAATTTGCAGCAATTTGATTTCGGTACTTCATATACTTTTCGATATTCCATACGATAAATGAGTTACAATTCCAATGATGACGAAAATCGACGCAAAAGTCTAATCCACTTAGACGCTTCATGAACCTTCACCATGTTAAGAAGAAAAAACTTTTTACTGTTCACAGTATATGAGCGTTCCAATTTAACAATTTCATTCTCGTCGGTGAACTCAGCATACCAGTCGAAAACATCTCCAGAGATCTTGCTCCAATTATTTATTATCAAGACCCGGTCCGGTCCAATATTCTTCGGTTGAGGAGAAACCCAATTGTGGGTCAAGTAATTAAAAATATTCTTGAGACGGAATGATTCACAAATTGTAATTATCATAAATACAAGTGATTTCTTCGAGTTAGCAATCTGATCGGGCCTTGTGGATCTCCCGATTCAGCAACTGCAACAAGATACAATATTGAATCTCTAACTATTTTAAAATTGATTCTCAAATCAATAAGTTCACAAATATCATAGCCTAGAGAACTGTAACTTCCTTTTATCAACAACAAAGTAGAATTTGCAAGGTGACTATGTTGGCTACACTCAAAGTAGTCAGTTCCATTACACGAAAAGCCAAGCATATAAAATTCATCCGTCCTTATTCTCAGATATAGCATCCTATTTTGGAGTTGTGTTATGCTACAATTCAACGTAATTATATGTGGAACAGAATCCTTTGGTACATGCGGGTCTAAAACAGGATAATCATAATCATTGGACGTATAAGTTTCAGAACATCCTCTTGAAATTGAATATAGAGCATTCACAAAAGACTCAGGATCATCACTTAAAAATACATCAAAAGGGGGATATTCAGCAAATCGAGACATGTATGAACCTAGCAACAATACAACTTTAATCAAAAACCACAAACTCAAATCTAAAGTTTATTTATGGACAAAAGAGATTAAAGTTGTATTGTTGCTAGGTTCATACATGTCTCGGTTTGCTGAATATCCCCCTTTTGATGTACGTTTAAGTGATGATCCTGAGTCTCTTGTGACTGCTTTAAATTCAATTTCAGGAGGATGTTCTGAAACTTATGCGTCAAATGATTATGGGTACCCTATTTTGGACCCGCATGTACCAAAGGATTCCATTCCACATATAATTATGTTGAATTGTAACATAGCACAACTCCAAAATAGGGTGCTATATCTGAGAATAAGGACGGATGAATTTTATATGCTTGGCTTTTCGTGTAATGGAACTGACTACTTTGAGTGTAGCCAACATAGTCACCCTGCAAATTCTACTTCGTTGTCGATGAAAGGAAGTTACAGTTCTCTAGGCTATGATATTTGTGAACTTATTCATTTGAGAATCAATTTTGAAATAGTTAGAGATTCAATATTGCATCTTGTTGCAGTTGCTGAATCGGGAGATCCAGCGAGGCCCGATCATATTGCTAACTCGAAGAAATCACTTGTAGTTATGATAATTACAATTTGTAAATCATTTAGTCTCAAGAATATTACTTGACCCACAAATGGGTTTCTCCTAGAGAATATTGGACAGGTGGGTCTTGATAATAAATAATTGGAGCAAGATCTCTGGAGATGTTTTCGACTGGTATGCTGAGTTCACCGACAAAAATGAAATTGTTAAATTGGAACGCTCATATACCGTGAACAGCAAAAAGTCTTTTCTTCTTAACACGGTGAAGGTTCGTGAAGCGTCTAAGTGGATTAGAGTTTTGCATCGATTTTCGTCATCATTGGAATTGTAATTCATTTATCGTATGCAATATCGAAAAGTATATGGAGTATAGAAATCAAATTGCTGCAAATTGTATGGAGATGTTTGGCTAATTATGGAGGGCGAGTAAGAGGTGTAGTGTGGATGATATAGCTAGGATGGTTTGGTATATTGATCATTGGGGAAACGTCAAATGCTGAGCTAACCGTCTGAAGCTTGAGTTGCCCAAGGATGAAACACACTTACAGAATGGTGCAAATGATAAACTGTGAGTTCCTTTGGAAGCTTTGAAATATATTGATAGTTTGATTCGTTTTGAAAAGCCTAAATGTTGGCTCAGGGAGACTGGACTACTGGTTCACCACAACTTCCTTTAAGCTTACGGGTTAACCCTTGGGAGACTGGACTGCAAATGATAGACTGGATTACTGGTTCACCACAATTTGTGGCTACGTCCAGTCTCACGAGAGACTCTCTCGAGCTACACTACTTTCGTTAAGCTTACGGGTGCTTAACAAACAGTTACAACTTGAGAACTCGAGTCACACGAGCCTTAACACACATGCTCAGAGATACCACACTCCAAAACTTCAACCCGAATGAAGTACCCATCTTTCATACAACCAAAGGAAACAAGCTTTCCTTCAAGAGTGTACTACACTTAACACTCAAGAACAAAAACTCTCTTAAAGAGTATATTATGAGTAAATAATTACGCTCAAGAACACAGTAACGACTTCCCGAAATGGCTCTCAAAAGCTATGAAAATATAAATGAATAATGCAATGAAAGAATAATGAATTGGTGAAGTGTTTTGTGTTGAGAGTAGACTCAAGGACCCCTTTTTATACTCAAAAATACGCTCCAACGGATGGGAGATGATTAGGGTTGATTGGCATGATTTGTGGGATTTAAGTCAAAAGAAGATCTATTGAAAATAGGCCTAACATCGATGTTCAAGTACTGAACATCGTTGTTCTAGCTCAAACTTTCCAATTGAATTGCCCAACAGTGGCCATAACACCAATGTTCAAAGAGGAATGTCGCTGTTGAAGGCATTGACTTTCAAAGAAGGAAACATTTTGTCTTAAATTTCTTCCAAAAGTCAAGAGCCAACATCGATGTTCAAGAATGATCGTCATTATTCTGGACTCTACTACCAAAGGAAGATTTTGAGCTAATATCGATGTAGATGGGCCTACATCACTGTTAGAAAACTTTCTACCAAACTCAGGTTGCTTAGCTTTGGCCTTAACATCGATGTAGCAACACCTACATCGCTGTTAAAAAAGCTACTGGAATCTTCAAACCTTGCGCAACAGTGATGTTCACCTTTTAACATCCCTGTTGGGAAACCTTAAGCCAGAATTGGGTTTTCCCAGACTTGCCATAACATCAATGTAGAGAACTTCAACATCGTTGTTAGGGTGGTTCGTCAGAGCCATGGTGTGGCAGGTCAACACTGAAAACCGATGTTAAACATCAAAGTTTTCCAAATTAAAAACCAAGTGTTTGAAACTCTTATTTAATGAGGTTTAGTAAGAAACCAAGTATAAAATCTTAAAAACCACGTCAGGTAGGTGAAATCACGGGTAGCCAAGTTAGAGCCAGTTTTCATGGTTTTTTTATCAAAGTTCAAAAAACAAATGGTGGTTATTAAAATGTTTTTGTTAGAAAACCATTTAAATATGTTCTGAAATAAAAACCAATCATAAAAGATTAAAAATCACTTAGTTGATTTGGACGCTGAAAAACAATGCCGAAAACCAACGCTGAACGTGGAACGTTGTTTTAGTTTAGGCGACAACCAAGTGTTTTTGGTATATAAAAACATTTATGAAAAATGTTTTAATTATGCATGAAAATGATTTGAAAGTTTTTGAGAGACAAGACTTGAACCCTAATGATAGCCTTGTCACAATAAAACCAACTCAATTTCTAAGTCTAAATCTTCATCTCTAGTCTTTGTTCTTGGTTTCATTTGATCTTTTCCCCATGTTTGTTCTTCGCCTTGATATGTTCAATAAGGTTTCTTCATATCCTTGGCGGTTTAGCATTTATCAAAATCTATCAAAAATGAACATCACTTTAGTACGACGTTATCGTAAAGTGTCTTCCAATAGTATTTTGTTAGCCTAGTTTATCATTCTTTCCCAACTAAAAACGATACATCGGTCAAGATAATTTACACTATCACCGATAATACTAGCATTGCTAAGATAATGTATTGCTACCAGTTGTTGATGAGTAGGTTCTAGTTCTAGTCCCGGTTCTAGAGCCTTATTTTTGTTAAGTTAATCTTTTAATGCAAAAATGACAGGTGGCTAAAAATTTTATCTAAATATATTTGTTACTTGGCTTGTAAAATAGTGTGAATTGGATAATATACACCATATAATTCACAACTTGTCTGATACCCTGATGTTTCAAAAAAACAACGAGATAAAAAATCGTAAAGAAACCCTCGAAAGAGTTGATAGACCATTCACCTAAAAACCAAATTACATCAATTAAGAATAAAAGAATATATAATATGTCACTCGTCTTAAGTGCCACTTGTAATACTCCAACCCGCGTAACCCGAATAATTGGATTCCCGAACTGAAATATTGCTAAATTGGTATCCACATACAATATTTCTCCAAATAAATTAAAAGCATTTAATTCAAAAATCCAAACATTTTAAATGTTTTTAGACATTTATTGGAGTTAATTCAAAACAGTGCGGAAGCTAACTATAGTTTAATAAAAATCATCATGACATCATTATTAACAGAAACCACCATAGTAACGATCCGTTCTAAGTCCTGCATCCGTACACCTCCCCCGTCTCGCTACTCTTCACGATCAACTTACCCAGTCTTACGTGCGTGCACCAAAACAAAACAACAACGCACTTGGCGATAAGCTGAGTGAGAAATATTTAACATTTCAAACATACATATAAGCGAACCTACTAGTTCACAGATGTCCCATTGCATCATGCACATAAGTATAATACATGCAATCCACGTAAGCAGTTGTTCATCACACAATTTATCTAGCACTTTTCCATCCTCGTTCTCATCATACCTATGTGTTCATCGTAATGGTGGATCACAATTGATTTACACTTACGATCTATACTAGACAAAGGACTTTCTACTTTTCTTGGAGTCATGATTGTTCCCACTAGATCAGCGGGTCATGCTCGACCAACAAAGGAGTTCTTCGTTGGGTGGGTAGAATCCCCACCTGATGGATCACCAGGGAGTTCAGGGATACCCGTACGTACTTTTTTACCCGATGTTACCATTGGGCCCTGCATGTGCCACATGGCAGTACTATTAATACTAGTACTTGAGTCAGTCCTAGAGTTCCTCTAGGCAGACTTACCATAGCTCATGAGATTGGATTAACACACGTGTAACATATGCTTCACGTATCATAACAAATATCGGCCTAATGTTAGGTATCGGCACTCAAACTTACCGTCATGCAACACATAAGGTCTCAGGAGCCAACCATGTCTGTCTAGCGGAACCTGTTACGGTACCTGAGTGCTGGTGGACGGTACCTGAGTACCACCACACGATACCGGGTTACCATGCAAGGAAACAACCGATAGTACAGAATGGATTGTGGCGGTAGCTGGCTACCGTTTGCGTGACAGTTGAGTACCGAACGAACCTAGCAATCGACAGAGCGGAAACAACTATGGCGGTAGCTAAGTACCGGTAGGTGGTACCTACCTATCATCTGGCGATCTACAATCTAGTGCAGCGCGAACTTTTGACTTTCAACGTCTTTTTCAAAGTCCCGAATCCAATTCCAACCAATTCAAACGATAAAACATGATTACTATATCGCGTAAAACATATCCAATAAATCATCCAACGCCTAAGATCATGGTTCTACCCGTTTGATTCAATCAACGATAACCTAAACCACAATCAAGCAATTCTAAACAATGATCTCACACAAATCTATCACGACAAGCAACTATGAACGGGAATTTCAAACCTAGATGCATATTCTAGTGTTAGATGTTCACGTACTCACCTCGATTGATTTGATTTGATCAAGGAGAACGAAACTTGGAAGCTATCAACGGAGTAGTCGCATCCCGCAGTCTAAATCGGGTTCATTGCCCCCAGACGCCATCACCGAAAGTCCGGAATAGATATGTCCGCTGCCACACCGTGCCCCCGCTACCCAGAACTGACCGCCACTACCCAACCAACATTAGAGTACCGTCACTGCTGCTCAGGTACCGTCCATGCTGGTTGAGTCCCGCCTCGCTGCCCAAATCAGCCCGGATATTGCTAGGGCACCATCGCCATCGCTGCAGGTAGCCAGAGAAAGGGGTCCAGACCTTGCCGGCATTGGTGAGAGGTCGCCACCTTTGCCTCACCGTCGCCGAAAGAACCAGTCTCGGACAAGGATGAGCCACTCTGCCATGCACTTCTGCTGCGCTAATCGAAACAGAGAGGAAGGAGGAGCAGGAGATGGGGATCACTGCCGCTGGGCCTACCACCTAGGTCATCACCGGAGGGATTGCCACCTGCGTACAGCGTTGTTGGGGTTGCAGACTGGCGAAGGACAAAAAAGAAGGCAGGGGTTTTGCCGGGAAGAATAGAGGCCATCTTCCCCATTGTCCAATTGTCACTGCATCGCCGTGGTCGGGAAGCCGGATCGCCACCTAGCCGCTGCGTCGTCGCATTGAATCGAAGAAAAGAAACGAGCAAGGAGCAGCGACCCACGGATCGAAGAAGAAAAGGGGAACTAGGGCTCCGCGTGAAACCTCAGCCACAATTCCGTGTATATATATAAACCTCAGCCACAATTCCGTGTGTATATATATATATATATATATATATATATATATATATATATATATATATAATCTTTTTATATATATATATATAAAATCTTTTTATATATATATATTCCGTGTGTGTTTATATATATATATATATATATATAAAATCTTTTTATTTATTTATTCTACTGTAACATCTATTAAATGTATAACATTTTACATATAAGTCCAAACTCACAAAACTATATGTCGTTGGTAATCTTTTTGCGAGATCTACTCAATGATCTAATTTTTAATGTATAATTTTAACATTCTGACTTACTCATGTTTTTAAGACAGGAAGGATCATACTTTTCGCCAAATACCTCTGAATTGAGTTTGGTTTGCATTTCTAAGTTCAGATTGTTAGCCATAATGACTTATTAAAAGTCGGTACTTACAACTTTATATTTTTCTCGCCTTGGGTCTATCTCATTCATTAATAAATTCTCTTTGCTAGAGACTATCTTTATTTTTATTAAATAAATCCATCATTTGCATTGGTTCAAATCGCATACAGGTGATTAAAACACCCCTAGTCACTCTTAATTCTTTAAAAAAGTTACTTTTTTTATTAAATAATACTTATTTATCTTAAAAATTCCAATAAACTACTAGACCGGTTTATAGGGTGTTACACCACTTTCCTATGTGGTTGTTGTGTTTATGTAGTTCTTTGGATCCTATGTCGTACCTCACCTCTTGTTGTCAATGCCTCGCCATGATCCAATCTTGGTTGCATAATAGATATCCATTGATTCTAGATTGAGCCTAGTCTGAAAGTCGGTCAAAATGTTTCTGTTGGAACTAAACTCATACTCTATGTTCACCTCTAACATCGATATAGACACCACCTGTCTAGAAAACATTCTCAACATCGAGAATATGTGCCCATTCTGTTTCCAACAATTGAGCTTGTCGAACTCCCCTACGTTTTCTTTGTTGTAATCGCATAAGCCGCCTTCGTACATCAAAAGTTAATTGTGTGAACTTGTCGTTGTAGAAGTGGTGCCAGACTTCTTCTTCTTTGAGAAAAATGTTACCAACGATATTCTTTAAAATACCCTTCCCCATTGACGTGGAACGGGATTGGTTCTCACTAGTCTATGGAGGGCCATACAAAATACGGAGTTCAGAATATAAAGATTTAAGTAATAAAACAATGTTACTCATGCCATCCTTCTAATCAATAAAATGTTCAAAAAATAATCATTTTCATTAAAAAGAAACAATCATAGTATTACTTCATAAGAATATTAAAATATTCAAATTTTGAAGCAGGAACTACAAATAATAGTAATCTTGTAAATATCAATTATGTGGAAGTAATTCTAACATGTTGGAGAGATTTTCAACAATATCAAATTCATTCATATTAATAATCACATGACCAAGGTTAAACTTAAGAAAGAAAAAGTTCTTCTCTATAACTCAAACCCCCTTTTAATCAGCTTATACGTAATGTTCCACCAGATTGTAATATCCTTTGAAAATTATACAATGTTTCTATGCATAAACTGACAAAAATCCTTCCACACAGTTGAGTTATATCGATTACCCCAAATTAATTTCAAATTTTTCCTTAATGTTGGTCATTACTCCTCGCATAGTCGTCAACCCAATTGAACACACAAACTTAAAACATAGCATGTGCACCTCTAGTGTAGAAACTACCCATGGCGCTAGAAGGGAGACAAAGTTCTCTAAGTATAGGATTGATGGTTGTGTCATTACTAGCGTTGCCAAAGTCAAATGCAAACACTTTATCTTCTAAAAAATATTCATGCAAAATATGCTGAAGCAAAATAATAGTATTGTGAGTAGTATGATACCATTAAACTCATTGAAGGCCAACATGTTTATGCCTGAACCTATGAGTATCAATCTAATAACACGTAACACCATATACGACAAGTAATTATATGTTTTGCCCCAAATATCTTAGCAAATAATGACAAAAAATTATAAAATATTGAAAAAATTGCAAAATTTAATGTTTCAGAGGAATATTAATTAATACTCCCTCCGTCCCCCTAAGATGTTCTCATTTTGATTTTTCTATGGGGGACGGAGGGAGTACATTTTTTCTAATTGTTTTTTTCAAAACCTATAGCTTGTAGGATTAATGCAATTTAACAATATTTTACAAAACAATATTTTTCTAAAAATATAAATGACAAATTTTCTTCGTAAATTATCTTAGTAATTCTTTATTTATTTTGCTCATCGCTATGAATAAAGAGTTCGCCTCATTTTTGTTAGCAAAAATAAAAAAATTGGTTTTGTTTGCCATTGCCCTTCAACTTAGAAAATTCAACAATGTGACTCGCCGCGAGGTGCTCGTTGACCGAACCATAACCCACAGGAGCCTCTATATTTTTATCTTTTTCACAATGTAGGCAAAATCAAATGCACTTGCCACTTAAAACTTTTTTCTGTTTTTAAAATGATATTTAAATAGATCATATGTAAGTTTTTTTAGCTTGCTTTGATCCCGCAGAGAACTTAGATTAACATTGCAGATTCACATTGCGTCTCCCCAATTGGACTATTACTTTCAAGAGGAGGCTCCTTTGTCACCTTCTCGTCCTCCACACCGATTGAATCCATGAGATTCGTGTCAAGACGTGACTAGGTTCTCATGTACTCGTAGAACTCACAGTCGCCCATGGCGTCATTGAGATATCTTTTGGAAACCAAAAAAAATTTCAAAAATTAAACCAAAATGTCATTGAGATATCTTTTGTTTTTTACTTTGGAAAATTGAACTGAACTGAATAAACTGAATTTTTCTATGTACTTCGTTTTATCTACATGAGTCAGGGTCGGCCATGGTGCTTTACCGGGCAAGGCCTGTTTTTTCAGGGGTTAATAATTTAAGTTATCTATTACAATATTTAATTATAATACTATAATTTTGTTATGTATATTACTATAATACTCCGAAGTATTAACTATTGTTTTATAAAATAATTTATACTCCATATAATTTAATTTGTTATGACCATGACCCATTTTTCGTCTTGTCAAGGGCCATCATATCCTTGGGATCGACCTTGATATGAGTATATGTGATATAGAAAATAATTTATAAAAACATAAATGTAAATAACTGAACAAATGATTAAATTTATTTTTCCTTGAATACTAATCATTTGTAACCATATTATAATATTTAATAATTAAAAATATAAGCACCAATAACTAATTATAATACATAGTTATATTAGCATTATAAATTAATATGAATATTTTTCATATTTGCATGAAAAAGTTGGTGTAATAATGGAAATGAAAGTATTATACAAAAAATGTAAATACTCCATAATTGGTATTTACATACGAAGCCTTTGAGAATATTTAGAATCTCCTAGATGTTTGGTGAGCACTTAACACCCCCTCTCAATTTGAGGGCTGGGTATGTGTATAATTGATTGAACCCTCTTTTTGTATTATTTTTTTCACAAGTTAATTTAGTTCTAGTTATATAAGAATGTAAGTGTCTAACTTGTGTTTTAGATGTAATAAGGCCAGAGCTTTTAACTTTTACATCTATTATATGTTCAATACATTTAATAGGTGGGATAAGCGATTTGTTTAGAGTAATTCTTCACTAAGGACCTATTCCTTAGGACTGGAAAATAGGAAGTAGATGTTGGAAAAATTAGAAAAAACTGGTAGATACTGGAATGATCTGGAAGAAACTAGAAAAATTGGAAGAAACTTGAAGAACTAGAAGAAACAAAAAGAAACTAGAAAAAATTAGGTGAAACTGGAAAAACTAGAAACAATTAAAAAGTCTAAAAAACTTTTAAAATTTGTCATTATTATTAATTTATTATTATCACTATAATTATTATTATATTCATAGTCACGTTATCTTAATCAATGTCTTTATGACAAAAAAGCATTGTGATTTTTCATACAAAAGAAAATCTACTTTCACAAATTTTTTAATTAGAATATGAAGTTAGCATAAATATTAAAGTTTTAAATTTAAAAAGTTATTGCGGTTCTGTTGCACCTCAATTTATTTATGTAGTATTTATTATAAAATAATTTATTTATAATTACACTTTATATATTATAAGATTTTTTTTAAATATCACATCTGTCACATAATGTGATCAAAATAATTTTTTTATTTAATGATAGACATTGTATTTTCATTGTAAGTCATATTCTGGAAATAAAAATATAGAACTCAAAATTTTTTAATGCAGTTTAAAATATGATGTTTTCTTATTTTATTATATAGATTAATAAACAAAAAAGTGTACTCTTGGTATTTAAAAGTTAAAGAAATAATAATAATAATAATAATAATAATAATAATAATAATAATAATAATAATAATAATAATAATAATAATAATGAGTGTGAATCCTAAAAATAGTGAAATAGAAAAAATTAAAAAAAATGAGATAATATATAAACTATATTTATGAACATAATAGTTATAATAATTATAGTGAAGATAATATTAATAATATAACTACTACTATTGTTAGTAGTAATAATAATATAATAATCACATTAAAAATATATTATTTGTAGAGTAATTGTTTGGTGAGTAGAAAAAGTTTGAAGAAAATGAGAATAGTTAGTTTGACTTTGAAAATTTGCTCCTTACCACACACAATTAAGTGAATGAATGAAAATGAGAATATTTAGAATCTCCATAATGGAAATGAAAATTTGCTCCTTACAATTTTTAAGTGAATGAATATATTAAAAGTATTTATATATATTGCTCCTT